GATTAGCCTCTCTGAAAGGCAGCAAGTCCTCCAGTTCTCAGCAGGGACAACGTGCCAAACACTGCCTGCAGAAACCCAGCAGGAGCTGCAAACAGCTGCCTTGTACAGAGAGGAGACACTGCCCTGATTAACTAACTAAAAAAAAAAAAAAATGAATGGGTGGGAGATTACAGTGATTTTTCACTGTAATCTGGCTGCAAGAGTCTTGGTCCTGAATTGGGAAAAAAAAAACATAAAAGCTGTGAAGTAGATAAATATGTAAATAGCTACACAGAATTTCAGAGCAAACAGAAATCCACATTTTATAAAACAGAAACAGAGTAGTAGAGAATTTTGCAATGACTGCTTTAGACTTTTCATTACTATCATGTTTCTCCTATTCAGTCTTCAAGCAGATAGGAAACTCCTTCTTGGTTTCCACCAACACTGTTTTCTTTGACTTTGGTGTCCTTGACAAACCCTCCCAGACTTGGAAACTGCTTTCTACATCTTATCAGAAGAGAAAGCTGGCTGGGAAAGTTACCATTGCATTCCTTTCTCGTGCACAGTTTGTTCAAAAGTAGTTCAAACACAATAGCTACTTCCTTAAACTTACTCTGAATTGAGCTACTTACATATTGGGGGGGGGGGGAAAGCTGCTCACTTTATTTGGGATTCTGTAGCATACAGAGGAGTTATGGCTAGACAGTGTAAGGCAGACAAGTAGTAAGCTTTAGAGAAACAGCAACCTACTCAATATATGTAAAATAAACATGAAAATTACAAAGCAGTATTTAAAAAATACCTGAAAATATTTCAGAAACCACTCTTGCTAAAGTTGAGCAGATGCAAGCCTTAAAGGCCTCTACGTTTAAAATGATAATGCCAGGAAGTTCACATTTCCAAATATAAAAAAGTAACATAGTTAAAAAAGCATAGGAGTGAAGCCAAAAATACAAGAGAAAGCTGAAAACTCTGCTTGTCCACATTTTTTTGTCCAGAAAATCCAGACATCTCTGATTTCTGTTCAATCAGTTTCCTTTACTTGGTTTATCTTACTATGTCTCCATTTCATACCATCTTTGCATCTTACCCCAGATATTTCCAGGAACACCTTACCAATAAAAGTCTGTCTTCATAAAGCTGATGAGATGACAGCTTTCTTTACTCTGGTGATCTTTCTATACTGAGCAAAACACTCATGAATTATAAGAAAATTCAGTTAAGTTTTGGATCAAACAAATCACTGGAGCTTTTCTCTTCCCTCTTTATATTTCGAAGAGTTCTTTTCTTCCAAAACTTGAAACAAAATTACTCCAAAACCCCATGAAACATTATTAAAGTAGTGGGGGAAGTAGTTGAGGCTCTTTACCTTACATACTGTACAAGTTACACAGATAATTAGGTGAATTATTAAGAGCCACCCTGAGAAAAGCTCTGGCACTATGCTTGTCACTGGGATCACCAGTTCTTCCTTATGACCTTTTAAAGTTGGAAAGGAGTTCTGGGAAAATCCACGACTCTGCCTTGCTGAGATAAGCAAGACAAGCAGTGAGATGAACTGAGGCACCAACACCACCCGTGAGAGGGCAGAGCACATCTACTACCACAAACCTGACTGTGTATTCCAGCTTTTCTTTGCCTGTTGCCATAAACCAACACGATACACAGGACTTCAAACACCTCACACATGCAGAGTGTGTGCACTCATGAATAGTAAAGAACAGCAAACCCAAGACTTGGAAAGAAAGACAAAGAACCCACCTCTGTCTAGACACAAATACATGAAATGAGCTGGTCAGATGTCTTTGCCAGGCCTTCAAAATGAGTGAATCAAAAGAAAGAACTGAAGAAGAAAGATATGCTAAGCAGGGCATTTTGCGAGACATTCACAGATCCTGAGATCTCCCTAGTGTTGTACTTCAGCAAACAAGGGCCAAGAAGAGAACCAAAATGAATTAACATACATACTTTGGAACAGGTCAATGAAACATGCCCACACAAGCTTTACTAATGCAATCACAAGTTCAGTGAAGCCAAATGGACATCTCAACTGGTAAACAGAGTAATAAGAAACACTGTCATATCCAGTTAGAACAGATTTGCAAACAATAGGCAGCCTAACTAATGAGAAACATGAATGTAGCTTACAAATTAAAGAGACCCTCAAGGTAGGAACAGCACCCAAAACTGCTTGCTCTATGCAAATTAAAATGCCTAAACCAACGCACTATACTATCAGAAGTTTGTTAGACTTCAAAAATTCAATTTTACATGAACAGAAGGAAAAGAAAATGTACTTTCCCAGCTAAGGAAAGATGTCAGTGCTGCAGACCACATCATAAACCAGTCCCTCCTGCCAGAAGGACTTCCAAGAAGACAGAAATCCCCAACCAAGCAAACAACAACAAAACCCAAAGCAAATTTGGTGGCAAGTAGAGGAAATAGCATACAGCTTGGATTTATTTAAACCATTTTTCTGTGTGCCCTGAGCACATACTTGCATTTGCATTGCCAACAACATTCAGAACATCTAAACAGAACTTTTCTTTTAAAATGCAGTAACATCACACAAGAAAGAAGCCCAAATGCAAAGATGTTGTAAACACAGAAACATACACTAAATTCATTAGTACACCTTTCATTCAAAGCTTTTTAAAAATCTCTCACACAAAGAAAATATCTTCCCTTGAGCTTTTCTACTATCACATAGGATAACCAGCACCTTATACTTTTTTCTGCCTTCTTTATCTTAGAGACAAGTTAAAAAGTAATGGAAAAATAATTAACAAGCAATACAACCTGGACATAAGTAAACAGAGGATTACTTGGGCTCCAAGCCAGTTCTACATAAACGCTTTGAGTAACCCCTATATATCTGCTCTGTGGTCAGGAAAAGCGAACTACAGCAGAGTTTATTCTTTTTTTGGGGGGGGGGAAAAATAAAAAGCAAACAATTCCCTAGTGTGTTCGTGGGATAACAAAATCCCATTCCATCTAGCTATTCCTCACAGTTGTGCCTTTACTCTGCTCTCCCTGGGGACATCACAAGAAGGATAAAAGAGAATAACCAAGTCGGCCTCATTCTTCACTGGCTGAATGCTGAACCACACAAAGAAAGTTTCTCAGTGGTTCCAGCAAAGGTTGGACAGAAAATATGCAGAACAGAACCTGATCTGAAGTTCTCTCCTCCCTCTGCATTGCACTGAAACCTGTGCAACAGGGGTACCTAAAAATTACTGGCAGAATTTGAGAAGATCAGTAGCGAAGCTACAGCGCAGCACGTGAAGGGACAGGGACAAAACGGAAAGTGCAACACCAGAGGAATGTGCTATCCTGCAAAAACTCTCAGTCAAACACGTCCATTATAAACATCCATGCAAAGCTTAAAAGGTGCTGATGACATAACGGTGAGGCACCTTCACCCCGGGGCACAGGGGAGGAGCAAGGTAGGACACAGAGAGAAATGAAACTGAAATAACGAAAACAGGAGGAAATTCAACAGAGCAAAGCACAGACACGAACACCTCAAACAGGACTTCTGCTAGAAACCAGAATATTACGATGAAAATGACTGTTGATGGGAATGAGCAAAATGACTACAAAGCCACCATCATTAGCCAAAAAACAAGGGGACAAAGACTTCTCAGAGTGCAATTAAAAAAACCCAACATATTCAATTTTGGTTGTTCTTTCAATTCTTATTGAAGTCTTTTATACATAGACACACATATACAAATATTTTAACATTTTCAAGCTCATCTGGAGCTTAATATTGTCAGGTTCATTCATTCTGAATAGGCTTTTATTTTGAAAGCAGAAACACGGAAATCAATTAAATTATTCAAAACAAAGCATTTATTCAGTATGAGCAAAATTAGAAGGTGTAAAGAAAGCTGTATCTGTGTATCTAACACTGACTTAAAGTAGCTTTTTAGCCCACACAATGGAGAATATCTATTGGTATCTTCTGCAGAATTTTTTTGTTCTAGTATAATGCATGAAAAATAAGAAGACTTGAGTAAGAAAAGGCCTAAACGTGATCATGGGAAAACCAGCAAAAATTACACAGATTTGTTGATAGCATGGCTGATTTAATATAAAAATTAATAGAATTATTAAACCCCCTATCATATGTGATCAAATATGACAAAAAATACATTTACATGTGGTAAAAACAATGTGAAATACATCTTCAACATTTCAGAATGCTGTCAGAATGCGACACTGGAAGGAGTCCACCCTTCTCAAAGGTACCTACTTATCCAAAGACACTACCATTTCGGAGCCCCTGGTGGTCTAGTGGTAAAGGCGCCGCGCTATCACTGCGGAGACCCGGGTTCGATTCCCGGTCAGGGCCACTCCCGGGCAGGTGGGGCTCGTTAGCCCTTAAAGGCAACCCACCTACGTCCTAAGGACCTCGCTGCCACCGTCCAAGCTCGCTTGGCCCCGGCAGATGAACCTTAGGATTAAAGGGTGGGCTCAGTTCCGCGCACACTGTGTCTCACCTAAAAAATCCAATGCGCAGGCTGGAAGGTGGAAAGACCTTCCCCGGATCTTCGCTCGCGAAGACTGGCCATTACCATTTCAAATTGAAAGATTAAATATTTCAGAGGTATTTCTATCAGTATTTAAGCTAACTGAAAACTAATGTTTTGTGGAAGAAACTATTTTTTCTATACTAATCTGCTTTTTTGAAACTGTATGAAAGTAATCAAGAAATCGACTACATTTGAGCCAGGCAGTTAATATAAACTGGCAAAATAAATATTTCCTCTGCCTAGCACAGTATTTCCTAATTTGAACTCTATTATGATTTTGTCTCTAATTTGTTTTGGTCAGTCTGGTACTTCTTACACTCAAGTTACCTCAAAACTAATTAACAACATATTCCATGCGACTCCCTAAGCCTTTTTAATAAATTGCAACGGTCGATTTTATCATAAAGACCCATACGAAGAAACCTTATTATAAATGTGTGGTTTTTTTACAGACTTGAGCATTCAAGTGTTTTTACTCACTTCTGTGCTCCCTGAGACAACAGCTTTGTCCACGTTCACCGATAGCTGCTCTTCAGTCTGGCAGACTCCCACTGACCACTCCGCACAGCGGTGATGAGCCCAGCAGTGACCTAATGCGTCAGGGAAGAGAAAGAGCTTTGCTTGTACTTCCTCCAAGCGTGGAACTCAGTTCCAGCAGTAAACATTCACCAGATAGAACAGATAGTCTCTTCCTCTTCTTTCCTTGTTGCAACATTCAATGCCTACATGATCATACACTGAATATATTGCAGTTACTCTCGGACACTAAATATTCTGCTATTTGCTTTTATACATAACACACCTGTATATCTGTTTCTAATTTTCTAAATTTCAGCTGCCTGATCACATAACCACAGCACTGGGCTGTATGGGATTCTATGATTTTATGATTCTACATTCAATGCCTGTGTGACACGCACAGGGAGTTACATTTGATCTTGTATTTCACCATAGATAACGTTTGCCTATGTTTGTACTCTTAACTTAGGACTCCCAAGGACTGGATGCAGAGCTGTATGTCCATGTAGAACATGCTCATGTGATGCTTTGGAATTCCTGCACAAAATGTTTAAAAGCTCAAAATACAGTATGAACAGAAACACCACATAAATGACTGAGAAACCTGTGTCAATATAACAAATGTTATAGAGATAAAATTAGAAATGTTTACCTATGTAACAGAAAAATTTAGAATTTACAGAATTTAACAGGTATCTCTTAAAAGAAGTTCCTAATTCAGTCCTGGGAAACACAGTGTAAATGATGCATACTTCCAGAGGAACTCTGTGACAGCTTTATAAAGAATTAGTAATGATGCTTTGCATTAGCTATTGAAATTAGGTGTTGGGTCAACCTAATTATTCAAGCAACAACAACAACAACAAAATCCCCAAAATCTCTGTACAGGCTTGGGAAGAGTCATCTACAAATAACAACAACCATAAAAATGCAGACTGATAAACTCCCCCACCCATACACACACATTATGGTGTAACTATTTAAACAAAAAAAACATTAATTTTTTTCTCTTAATTAGACTTTGAAATAAGTTTCCACACTCACAAAAGAATGACATTTATATTATTACACACATAAATTTCCATTTTTTTAGGCAAAATATGTGAGTGGACTACTGGTATCAAAGCATTTGGACATAGATGCTTTCTGAGAAAGTAACTCATAACTGAGTTAATAGAAAAGTTCCTTTAAAATGAAAGAGCAGATGACAAATCAGATTTTTCTGACAGGAAACCTGCATATTCTGGAAACGTACAAGTGTTTTATGCCTCTACTGCTCTAGCAAGGCTGCTCTTTTAAATCCACTGTTTCAATAACCCCATATTTGCAGCAAGAGATTAGGTAAAGTAAGGATTAAGACTTGAGAATCATAGAAAGCTGTGCCTCATTTCTTTCTCCTTTTCTACCCAAAATAGAATTATGCTAGTGAAGGTATTACTACCTGAACACCAGTTCAGCAGTAGATTACAAATATTTCCCCAGACAAAGCTGAGGATTCTGCCCAGTACTTGGAGAGGAGTCTATACAAAAACACCACCTGACATGGGCAAAAGCTACCCAAGCACCATCAAACACTTGACAAACACCAGAGCACAGAAAATCAACAGCTGTAAAACCTCACTCACTGTCATTAAAGCTACTGTACTTCTACTGGACAAGATTAAAAAAAAAGGAGGACAACAACAGATCTTACCTGTTGGCTCAAATAAGGCTTGAACATCAATGTCATCTGGTAAGCCAACTAAACTGAGTTCATCCCAGACTTTGCCAACCTGATCATCAGAAGCAGTTTGGGTGCTTACACTTGTACATGATGCTATACTCGATCGAGATCTGTATCAGGGAGCAGAAAAACACACTTAGAAGCGACCACACTCTTCATTCAATTAGCCAGATACTTGTAAATGATCCAAAACTCAGGGCAAGAGATTAAAAATTTTTCCCAACACGATAAAATATAAATCAACGTGAACAAAAGTCTTTCTTCCTCAGACTTTATCTCCATGTTTTTCCCAATAACAGTTTTCAGTTAAAACTGCTATTCAGTAAACAAGCCTACACTCTTTCAATTCCTCAGGACACACACGCTTCTTTTTTAAGGTTGATTCTGTTTGGGATTAAAACTAGCCCAACCCTCAGAATGGACAATTAGGTAACAGCAATCAGTCTGTGTTACTCTGGGGAAGAAGAGATAAAGAAGGAAGAGAAGAGAGCGGTGCAAGTGGCAACCACCAGCTGCAGCTTTTATAGGCCCTTCTCCCTGCAAACAGCTGGCCCAGGGTGCAGCACTGACAGTGTCCTCAAAGGGACTGGCAGAGGTGAGGTGCCTATAGAAAATACAGCAACTATGGGGGGAGGGTAGAAGAGAGACCAGGACTTAAAAAGCTGTTTGGAAACAAACATCTTTGTACAGTGCCATCAAGATGTTAAGAAAAAAAAAGTGAGGGGAGAGCAGAATTAAAAAATGCAGTGATATCAAGACCACTATATTGTGCTGACATGGAAGGGTCTGCTTTACAACCTTATTAATTTGTTCCCCAAATTCTAATCTGTACAGAAAACAATTAATACAATTCAAATTATTCAATTAAAAAAAAAACAAACAGAAGTGGTAACTCCACTCTTACTTGTTGCAGGCAAAAAACTATCTTGGACATCTAAAGATGTGCATTTGGCTTACTGATCACTGATGCTTCAACAATTGGTAGGAAAGGTGGTGCTGCATTTTCTATTAACGTTCTTTGAACTTCATTACTCTTCCTATTAGTAACTCAAATGTATGCATTTGCCAATAGATACAGTAAGCACTGGAATAACTGTGATAACTTTGCCTCCCTGAAACCATGCACGCTTTACTTCACCAATTACATTCATAAATACATGAAAAACCCCTTAGTTTTTAGGGAAAAGAGTAACAATCTCTCTTGCACCATCCAAGAAACTGCAGAAGTTTTCCACTCTTACATGATATCTTCACGAACTGTGTCATGACAGAAGTGGAACATCAAAAAAACCCCACCCCAAAAACTATTAATTCTGACACTATGAACATAAAGACTCTCCTTAACAAAGCATTTCAGGAACCCATTGGTTTTTCCTGAACACTGCTCATGTCCAGTGGAATCCAATAATGGTTTGGGTTGGAAGGGATCCAGTTCCAACCCTCCTGCCAAGGGCAGGGACACCTTCCACTAGACCAAGTTGCTCAGAGCCTCGTCCAACCTGCCCTTGAACACTTCCAGGGATGGGGCACCTACAGCTTCTATGGGCAGCCTGTGCCAGGGCCTCACCACCCTCACAGTGGAGTCTCCTCTGACATTAAACTGCTGCTCACAACACTGGAGTTCAAAGAATCTTTAAGAAAAACTACATTTCGATCTGACCAGGCATTTTTCTGTGTAAAAAGCTTTCCCACAAGATCAAACCCATCCATTTACAGAACATCCCAATTTACTCTGCAATCTCACCCTGAACTGAATCACTTTCCACCCCATCCTGATCTTTTGTACGTAGCCTTTTTTGTAAATAACATTTCATATACTTGCAGAACACAGTAACTGTCTGAGGAGAGCAGGTTACCTCTATTAGCCTTAAGAAAACCCGTTTTTTCTACATCGGCATTACACAACGTGCACTTTTACCCTCCTGACAAGCATCAGCGAGCCTGAAACACCCCGGACAGCCTCTCCGGCAGCCAGCAGTGCCCGGGCGCTGAGCTCTGACACATGACAGGCTGAGTTTGGCGGAGCCGCCGCCTCTCTCCTCGTTTCCCTCCCCAGACCGGGCCCCGCGCCCGCAGCCAACCCCGGCCCCCGGCGCGGACCGCCCGCAGCTCGGCATCCCCGCCCCGCAGCACTGCATCCCGTCACCGCATCCCGTCACCGCCCCGCCCTCAGCCCACGTCGCCGAACAGCATCACCGCCCAGCATCACCGCACTCAACCCCGCACCGCCCGCGGCTCCGCACCACCGCCCCGCATCCACCGCACGGCGTCACCGCACAGCCTTCAACCCTGCCCTGCCCCGCACGGCCTCGCCGCCCTCAACCCCGCATCACCGCACCGCCCGCCGCCCCGCATCATAGCCCCACATCACCACACCGCCCTCAACCCACACCCGCAGCCCTGCGTTCACAGCCCATCCCTGGCCTCCGGTGCAGACCGCCCGCGGCCTCTCATCACCACCCTGCCCTCAGCCCCGCACCAGCACCACCCTCAGCCCCGCATCACTGCCCTGCCCTCAGCCCTGCACTGCCCACGGCCTCGCATCACCGCTCTGCCCTCAGCCCCGCACCGTCTGCATCGCCCTCAGCCCCACACCGCCCATGGCCCCGCATCACCGCCCTGCCCGTGGCCCCGCATCACTGCACCGCCTTCAGCCCTCAGCCCTGCACCACCCTCGGCCTCACACTGCCCACGGCTCCACTGCATCGCTCTCAGCCCCAAAGAGCCCGCAGCCACCGCCGCCCCCACCATCCCACGTTCACCAGCAGCCACCGCACAAACATCCCCTGCCAACGAGTAGACCTGCGAGTGCGGCTCTGAACGGTCACATCCAAATGCCATCGCCAGACACACCGTGCGTTGCACGAGCCCTGGTTTTGGAGCTGGGTACGCCCCCAGCATCCCTCAGAGAGCCCTCGGGGTGCTGCCCTGTGATCGCCAAACCCACCCAGCTGGGAGAGCTGCCAGCAAACCCCACTCCTGGAGGGCAAGAACCACTGCCGTGTGCCTGCAACAGCACCAGCACCAGGGCCAGAGCCAGCTCTGGAGCGCAATGGGGAAAGCTCTGACCAGATGGACAAAGGCTTCCATTACTCCAGTCCACACAACACATGAGGTGTCAAAAGTCCATCCAGTCATCTACCCCCACACATACTTTTAATTCCACCTCACAAGTAGATCTGTGCTTTGCAGCAACTATGTCTCTTTTCCGTGTTCTTCCAGAGTGAGGATTCTCACTCAGGGGAAGAAACCAAACCATTTTTAAAAAGCAGAAGAGCTATTGCTATGCTGCTCGCGTGTTGGTTGTTCTGGGGTTCTGCTTTTGGTTAGGCTTTTTGCTTTTTCCTTCAAAAAATTTGTTAATAACCCACAAATACAAGTTATTTGCTTACTGCAAACACAGGATCAGTAAAGGTGTTTCCTGGACTTCGTGCAAAACAAAAACAGTGAATATTTATTGTACAACGGACTTACTTCTTCTGTCCTCTCTGTTTGCGCGGCACTGAGTTTTGCCTTGGAGTTCTCTCACAAGCTCCATCGGTGCTGTCGCTGGCTTCACTCTTATTTAAAGGCTGGTTTTTCCATGGAATAACATACCCAGGAGTTGGACTGAATTGTTTTAAGTCTCCTTGTCCTAATGAGCTCCGTTCTCCACAGTAACAAAAGGCGCAGAGTTGTTCGCTGTGAAAGGAAAGATCATTACTTCTTTATTTTGGGGAAAACCACCAGAGGATACACCATCAAAGAGCAACTTTCACTCCAATTTAACCCTTTATAACTAAATAACAAAAGCTCCCAAGTGCTGTCAGGTATCAGAATTCAATATTCAGAAACACTATTTCCAGTTAATTTACAGTTACATTAAAAGAACTTCTTTTTGTTCACAAAACTGCATGATTAACAAAACAACCAAAAAAATCCCCACTTATTCAAATGGTTAAAAATAATTTCAAAAATTCTGTGTCTCTAGACACATGCTTGCTAAAAAGCATCAGAACATTACAGGACATACAGAACATCATTACACACACACCTTTCTGGAAGCACATACAGCTTACATGTAACACAATGTGCAAATACCAAAAGGTTTAATAAAACATGGGAAAAAAATGAAATAATGAGAAAATAACAGCAATAGCTGCAGTCACACATACCAGGGCATACAACATAAAAAAATCCAAATATCCTCGTTTACTTTCATATTTAAAAACAAAATTATGTCTAGAAGTTCCACTAGAGGAATTTTATATTTACAGAAGAACTGTGACCGCTGCAATGCCGTGTGCCATTTGCAATTATGTTTTAACATGCATAACATACCGACAGGATTGAAATGACAGCTCTGACAGCACTCCTTGTGTCACATCATATGGAAGCTACTGAAAAATATTTCTATAATAAACATATCCACAAACTTAAAATGTGAACTTCTGCAAGCAATGCAGTTTGCATTAAAGGAAGGCCATTTAACACTTTTTTTTTTTTAATGCTTAAATGAGCAATTCTGTTTTCTTCGTATTTATGCCCCAAAGACCGCAGAAAGATGCCTCAGGGAATCAGGCACTTGGATAGAGGCTTGGTTATGCCTGGATTCCATTTAAATAGATTTCAGTGCATCTCCAAGGTGGCACATTTGGATTTGGGACACTCTGTGCTGCATGAGTGAGAGGAGGGAAGTAAAGTGGGAGGAAGAGAAAACCTTAAGGCTGAACTCCTGTATAATATTTACTAAATTCTGGGGGGAAAAATAAAGAGTGCTTTTCAGCCTGCAGAGACAAAAACAGCAACAGAAGAAGGTGAAAGTGGAAAAGGAAAGAAAAAGATCAGAACAGAAATCCCTGAGAATGCAGGAAAAGCCCCTGAGATTTGTTTTAACATAATCTGAGATGGATCTTTTTCGCTGTCCCCATAGGCAACACCAGGTAAAAATAACAAAAAGAAGAAAGAAAATAAAGAAAATAGAAGTGGGTATGTAAATGCCTTTGAACTGCTCTTCTATTACAGTCAGATGCTAAGGAAGGAAGCAGCATATCACAAGCCCAAAATGAATGAAACCAAACACTTTTACCAATGGATTATCGGTGGGATTGCACTTGGCCTGACACAGATGGACCTTTGGGGACACGCAGGTTGGTGGGCAGGTAAAACAAGTCCCTGTTGTGGTACCCAATCGTACCCTCCCACAGTACTGTGAGGAAACATTTGTCCTCATCCCGCGGCCTCGGCCGCACATCCCTCCCTGATCTGCCTGAGCACACGACCAGCGTGAGCCAGCACAACCCCCGGAGCTGATGGCAAACGTCTGACACGTTCCAGAAATCTTCAGAAAGAGATGCCCGAAGATTAAAAAAAAAAAAAAAAAAAGCCAAGAAAATAGGGATAAAGACAGCGTAAGAACAGTGAAAAATGAATAGTTACAGCTAACCAGTAAATATGTCTATTTTACAGCTGGCTTTTAGAGTGATAGAGCAACAAGTACACTATTATTTGCCTGTCAGTGACTATAACCACTAGACTGCCAGTGAAACCTGATCTGGCCTCACAGGCAGAGTTCCTAAGCAGGGAAAGCAAAGCTATTTATGCCGGTTGAGACTAAAGAGACTTGTGAGGAGACTTAAGAGATTTAAACAGGCAGCACCATGGTATATAAATTACACTAGTTACAAACACAAGATTATCCACAGTGGAATAAATAATTATTCATACATCCTGTTAGGGCAGACTATCACTGTTCATTAAAAGACTTGAGGATAATTACAAACAAATAAACAAAGCTCGTTAAAGAGGAGTCGTAGCAAGCATGCAATAATGTTAAGGTTTATAGAAGGGAAATATGAAACAGTAACTAAGAAAAAAAAAAATACACCAACTTTTCAAGTGGTATTATTTGAAAAGGCATACAGGAGTAAAGCTGGTATTTCTGGAGCCTGTAAGGCAGCTCTGGCACCACAACTTCCAGCAGTAGCTTTTTCTGCAGCAGAGTGAAGTGAAACAACAGGAGCAGCGACTTTCACAGCTACTCTGCAGCGTGGTGCGGGCAGCTGTGAAGCTGTCAAGAATCATATGGTTCGTGCTACTGCTCCTGCTCCAGCAAAGCTGGGGACTGCAGCTGAAGCAAGGGCTCGAGTGCTCACCACAGGGAGGGTGCTGGGGGAACCCTCCGCTAAGGACTTGTGAACACACGGACACAGGAGTTGGAGACAGGAGCAGCAGAACATTCCCTGCCCACTGCCAAGAGACCGTGGGGCTGAGACAGAGGGAAAGGGGATTATAAAAGGGGGGATAAAAAGGTTTCACACTTTCCAGGGAGGGTAAGCAGAAGGGCTTCAAGTATATCACACACCCAGATACCTATAAACAGCCAGTGGCAGTGAACTCCCTCCCAGCATCTGGATACTAGAGAGACCCTCTGCAGGAAAGCCACGTTCCTCTGCCTCCCAACATGCCACGTGGCTGGCTTGCCATGCAGTACAAAGTGGCCAGTTCCATCATGTTAGCCTTTTAAGTTTAAGTGCTCAGTAAATATTTTAAGTTATGTCTGTATGGGCAGAAGGTGGAGATTTTTTCCTATCATCTGAGGACTGCAGAAAGTACTTACAAATCTACTTTCCATATGTCAATATGCAATTAGAGGATCTAAATCTGTGATGCAAGAAGAGCTCTCATACTGAAGATAGCGAAATTGAGATACTGGCAACTCTTAAGATCAAACCCTAGATCTGTTATCATAATTAGCATATTTTAAGAACAGGGTAATTCAAAATGGGATAAAAAGCAAGAGACGATGTGTCACAAATCTTTTTATAAGCTACTAAGAAAGAAAAGAAAGAAGCAGCTCACCAATACTCCATTTAAGATATATCTTAGGTGCTCCAACCCAAAATGTAAGTTCATCACTATTTGTAACTTCAACTTAATTTCTAAATTTTCCCACAACAGACGCTACTTTTTTATACAGGTTTAAAGTTCCAGAGGTGGTTTATTACCAGGAGGTGCTTATATAGCTCACCTCATCCCAAAGGCTTTCACAGATGCACACCGATTTTAATACACAGTACTCTTTCTTCTGCAGCCATTTCCTTCTACAAGTTCTTAGTTCATTGAGTTGTCTCGGTCAGTGCCTCCTCCTCACACAGAATTTACTCAAGCCCCTGACAAGAACCTAAAGTGCTACAATCCTCCCCTGTCCACACCCCGAGAAAGGAAAACAAAATGCCCTGCAGCCAGTTAATCCTGGAGGAAAGGAGAGCAGTCACTATTTCCTCTACTTGACCGATGACATACAGTCATCAGGACTCATCCTAAAATACAGACTTTCCAGCTGAAAGGAGTTCATTTCAACACACGCAGTATTGGGCAACTAGTTGCACAATATTAAATCACAACCAGAGGAGGAGAAAAATCATCTAGTTTGCTTGCAAATATTCAGTTAGAGAATTAAGGTGAAACTGAGAGTCCCCCAAACTTTTTTTTTTTTAATTAAGGCTGAGCATTGGGATTACCAACACTTAAAACACATCAAGTCTCCCTATAGTATGGGAGACTTCCAAAAGTAAGTAGAAGCCCTTGCTGGATCCTTCTGAGCTGGGAAATGGCACTGGGGTGTCCTGTGTCAGCCAAGGCTCCTTGATAACAAGCAGATGTGCAGAATGGCTCAGCAAACATGTTTTGTTTATGCCGTGCCCCGTATCTCACAGATGTTCACTTTGAGTGCTGTGCAGCTGCTGGAAACCTTCAGATTGGTTCCAGGTGAGTTTGTGTGACCCTCAATAATATCAGATGAGGGTCCCACTCCCACTCTCCTGCAGATTTTTTATACATGGGTAGGAGGCACAACAGTCTGCAATGATATGGGGCACTGCCATGGACCTGCAACTCTGTTTATACACCTGGGAAAATAAACTTTCCTTCCTCATTTTCATAGGAATAACTTCCTTCCATGCCTCCAGGATTCCCACACAGCTGAATGCCAAGGAAGACAGCACGTAGACTATGCTGCACACCATTATCAGTAAGACACTTGGAGTTATCCAACCCTTTCAGCACTAAATGGTGAAGGTGGCAGACTAAAGGCGATCCTGCAGCTGCCTGTTCGGCAGAGAGGTGTTACAGGTCCCCTTCCCACAGAAGAGCAGGCCCAGAGAAACCCAAGCATCCCATGGAGAGGAAGGAAAGCTGTCAGCAGCTGAAATGCAAACTCATGGATTCAGCTCAAGAGATGCTCATCTCTTAGCTTTTCCAAAATCCCTCCCAGCCTACTGTGGCACCGGGATTACCAAAGAATTTTTGCTGTGCATTCACCTTTTCAATTAATCACAAGGAAAATGAGTCATTCTTGCTGTTTAAACAGGAAAAGTCGATGGATTACACCTGAGAAAACCCTGAGGCATGGCCATTCCAGTAAGATCCACCAGCTACAGCCATTGCCTCTACATTAAATACTACGTTGCAGATGATCACTACAGCCATTTACCATGATAACAATTGCACTGAAGCTCCAAAAAAAAAAGAAAAAAACAAAACCAAACAATTTCGAAGGAGTAAAGATCTATTGCATTAATGTTTTGGGTTGAAACAGAGGGTGAAGAGGGTATCGTGTAATTTTTGCTATGAGCTTGTTTGGTTTTGAAGGAATTATGCAATAATTTTCCTCAAAGTTTGGAAATGCCTTCAGGATGTCT